GGGGGCTGGGTAAGCGGGCGGTGGTTGGGGGGGGCCTGGGGGATCAGGCAGGGGATGGGGGCTGGCAGGGGTCCCCCCATGGTCCCCTCCCCTGCCCCTAGTACTTACCAGCTACGAGTCGGCTGCAGCCCCGGGGACTGCCCGAGTCATCAAAGCTCTCTGGATCTCTTCCGAAGATTCAGAGAGCTCTGAATCGATTCGGGCCTTTGAATTGGTCCCCTGATTCAATTCAGATTCAGAGATTCGGCCACAGAATCAGGCCAAATCACCTTCAAATCGAATCACCACCTGAAGCTTCGCACAGCCCTAGTGATTACTTGCAACATGTGGGTAAAGCACACACCTAAGTCACTGCAGAATCAAGACCAAAGAGAGAAGAGGAAGCAGAAAAATAAGAGAAGTTTGCATAGAGGTTTTCAGGTATTTGGAAATAATTTTCAATTAGTAGTTTAAAAAAGAAAAAATGGTTATGTAATATTTTTTTTAGGCAAAAAGAAACATTGAAAACTTTGGGAATAAAAACATCCAGGCTTTTGGCTTGTTTTCCCACTTTCCCCCATTATATCATTACTGAAAATGAAGGAAGGAAAACCTAGAACATGGAAATTAAGCCACTGAAAACATTTTCAGGTTTCATCATGAGGACTAGGAAAGAAAATATGTTTTAAAAGATTAAAGTTTTGTGATGAACATTTTCATTGCTGGAGAACATGTCATTTTTCAATTAAACAATTTTCATTTGGAACATTTCAATCAGCTCTAATACAAAAGCACTTGTGGAAGGTACAATGAAGCTAAATGGTTCCCTTACCCGGCTTGCAATACTATAGCTAAGCTAAGCAAGTAGCCAGCTGCAATTATTGCAACTGAAGATTAACTATGTATTATACCGGCAACTAATCCGTGATGGAACATCCTGTATTTCTTACTCCCACCTTGTCTGTTTTACCAACCTGTCTGGTCTTGCATTAAGTCACTTGGTCTTTTCACTTGTTGCCTTAAGTGTGGTTTAGCAACCTACCTGCATGGAGCAAATTGCAGAATCAAGGTTTAGACCATAAATGCCAAAACAATGTGTTTGCAACTCCCCTGTTGTAAGCGATCCTGATCCAGTCGAGGCTCTGGGAATTATTGCAGCAATAAATAAATGATTATTATTGCAAGGTCAACTAAAACTTTGGGAGCTAAGAAAATTAATCTGGACCACATCAAATGAAGATGAAATGTGCTAATCTGTGCAGACCTTTGTTGGCCTTTGCCAATTACTGTGCTTGTTATTTGCATTGATCAGAATATTCTAGGCAGTTGACTGATATTCATTTCACTGCGGGAGTTAAGGAGGCTGGTAGCAGAATAGGTCAGTGCTAACCTCAGCATCTAATCCTCCTTCCTTACAGCTGCAGGGCTGCTGGCACTTTTATGCAGTGCCTAGCAAGATGTGGTCCTGATTCATGATTAGGGCTCCCAAAGGTACTACAATAGTGCAAACAGATAAGGAGAATCCTTTGTTTGAATGGCCACTCTTCTATTAAAATGGTTCTGAGACTGGTGACCTGATTCTGAGCTCATTAATAGCAATACAATGATACTGGCAAAAATCCTGGTCCTGATTACCCACTGTCTTTTGTAGGAGCGAGATTTCACCAACTGGCTTGAATGGAGTTGCGTCCGATTTATCCTGGGTGTAAACAGAAGCCAGCTCCGCATTTGGGAAACATCAAAGGAGTTAAAAGTGACTTCAGACTGGAACAAGTGGCGCTTTGTCTACTGTCCCCCCTCCTTGTACTTCAATTTTGACAGTGCTTGTTAGTTCAGCTAACACCATGATGACTTGCTAGCCCTGATGTCACTGTGGGTACACAGACTCTAGTGTAAGGCTGATGGGCTCATCACAACATGTGGCCCACTCTCTCATCGTGACTTTGGTCAAGGCAAGAGAAAATACACTGTCAGGAACTATCTTGCATTGGCAAGGAGGTGGTATGAAAGTGGTGGGGGAGGACTCATATCCTATTCCATTGCTACGATGCCTTGGAAACCCCAAATGAACTAGCATTTTTTACTTTTTTTCTATTAACAATGTTGCTAATAATGCCAATAACAGGCTGACCAGCACCAAACACTAAAACAATCAAGAATCATTCTTCCTTCCCCTTCCTTCTTCCTAAAATATTACAAGGTAGGCCTACAGATGGGTGATGAGCAGTGTTAGACTGGCAGGGCAGGGCAGCACTTTGTAGACTATCTGGTTCATAAGCTACAGCCATCAGCTGCTCTGCCAAAACCATCAAACTTTGCCTCTCTGAATTAGTTAGTGTATAAGGTGCCAGCCACCCTGTCCTGCCCTCTGCCTACATCAGCTAAATACCTCTCTGGAATCGTAAGTACAGTGGGTTTTTTCCCCTTGGTTATGGCTTTCTGATTTCCAAGCTTTTCTTTGCATCCCAGACTGCTGTACACTTTCATTTGGAAAGGAAAGCTGAATTTCTTACATAAAAACAGGATTGTGGGAGTATTAAGGAAAACACCAACTATCACGCAAAAGTTGTGGTTTTGCTTCTGCAAGACATCCGAAGGGGTAGCAATGGCTGCCACTCTGTTGGAAGAGGTGTGTTAGGGGGAAGAAAGAAGGGAAAAACTTGAGGTGGGAGGAAGACAAAGGAGATGGAGGGGGAGGCAGATTTGCATAGATGGGAGATCATCTCTTGGTGCCAGGAGCAATGGCACAAGTGACACAAGGCCAAACACCCACCTCAGAATCATGGACAACGAGGACTGGAAGGAAGGGACCTCAGGAGGTCACACCTAGTCCAACCCCCTGCTCAAAGCAGGACCAACCTCAGGTAGATCAACCAGGCCAAGGCTTTGTCTACCCACGTCTTCAAAACCTCCAAGGACGGAGAGTTCACAATCTCTCCAGGTAGCCTAATCCAGTGCCTCACCACCCTCCTAGTGAAAAAGTCTGTCCTACTATCCAACCGAAACCTCCCTTGCTGCAACTTTTCTCACCTAAGAGGAAAAGAGGGGTGGAGAGGGGTTCGGACAGGGTGGAGCAGGCCTTAATGGCCCCTCAGAAAGAGAAATGCTTCTGGACATGGTCTGCAGGCAGCTGCAGGGACACCTGGGAGAAGAGCCCTTACCTCTTCTCGCTTTACAAGTCTTCTCCCTGCCCTCCACCCAGCAGGCTGGCGTGACCCGACCTGTGCGCCGAGTCGCCGGCAGGCGCCCGGCGCTCCGGGCCGCTCCAGCAAAGCCCCTTGGGCAGAGGGAGGCAGTGCTGGGCTCCTCCGGCGGGCCGGGCTCTGCTTACACAAGCCCAGGCAGGGCTGGGTCGGCCGGGCCGGAGCCCCGCGCCCCGGCTTTGCTGAAGCGGAGCGTTTCCCCGGACAGGCTCAGCACCGCGCAGCCCCGGGTCGTGCAGGGGCCGCGCTCGGCCCCCACGTCCTGGGCTGAGGCTGTGCCCAGGGCGAGGCACCAAGCCTGCGGGGATGCTCCCAGGACCTGGCTCCCCCTGCTCACATGTGCACCCGGGTTACATGCACCCCGATTACCCGGGTTTTGGTTGCAGCCGTGTTGCTCTAAAGGCACAACCGTGCCCGCCCCCCCGCGATGACACGCATACCCCAGTTGCACGCCCAGCCCCCCCGGGGAGACGCCGGCGGGCCGGTTTCCAGCCCGCTGCCGCTTTAAGAGAGGGGCGGGGCCGGGCTGAGGGAAGCGGCGGCACCCGCCCCGGCCCACATGGGCTCCATTCGGCCGGCGGCTCCATTCACAAATCGCCCGGCGCGGAGCC